CACGATATTTGTTTTAATTAGTAAAATATAATTTGTAATATAAATAAAATTCTGAATTAATTTTATTTGTAAAGTAGACGTGTTGAGCTTTAAATGCATATATTATTTGCACATTTTACACTTATAGTTTGATAGATATAATTTTTCAAAGTGGGTCATTCTGCTGAGTTATACTGTCAGTAGACAAAATGAGTATACTATAATATTTTTACAATATCTCAAAATATAAAAGTCAAATTCGTACGAATCCAAATTTGAATGAAAGTAGACGTTATAAACTTTTCAAATATATATAATTTGTTATTTTTGAATACAAATTCAAATTTCTAGACAATTTTGAACTTGGCCAACAATTTTTGACAAAAGCAATTTTACAGTCTGGCATGTCGTTAAAGATTTGATGGTTTCTCTCAAACGGTGCAGGATAATTGAATGATTCTTTTTGCATTTGAAAATAGACTCAATGAGGAGTATTCAAGAATATTTTAAGATTTTTTGAACGTTCTGAGCCATTTTATTTGAATTTTTGAATCGAGCCAATGTGCAGTTACTATTGAGAAATGATTTTGTCTTCCACAAATGCCAACGTCTCCTTGGTGTTTTTGCCTATAAAAGAAGCATGGATTGAAGGGAGAATAACACAACAACAAACTCTCAAAGCCTCTTCAATCTCTCTCTAATTCTTTGTGCTATATTGTTTATTACTAGATCAAAGAGTACATAGAGGAAATTGTTTTAATTCATGAGAGTGCCTCTTTGAAGTGAGATCATTTTGTACAGGAGTGGTAGCTAATCCTACTTAAGAGGAATTGCTACATTTCTACTTCATCTTCATTTCTATTTGTATTGGTGTTTGAAACTCACCGAATCAAAGGCTTTGTAATCGGGATTTCTTGCATCCGCCAAGTGCAAGGGACTTTGTTTGTATTCGGGATTTCTTGCCTCTGTCAAGTGCAAGAGATTTAGTGGAACCTCGGCTAGTTGGAACTCGATGAGTGGATGTAGACTTGGGTAGCAAGTCGAACCACTATAAAAGAGTTTGCATATCTTATCTCTACTCTCTTTACTTTACTTGAAATTGTTTTATATTTATTATTGGGTGAATTGTATTAGTTTATTTGATTCAATATTTTTATTGTTTTTAATTTTTTCACACACTTAACTTCCGCGATAAAAATCCAATTCACCCCCCTCTTGGATTGCCTTTTGGGACAACAGTACCACTTCGCATACTACCTCATCAATGAATTGTTTGATAATAGTAAAGTTGATTTTGTACTACTACTCAATCTTTCTATTCGTATTATCGTGAATCCACCCTAAGGTATAAGGGTGAGAGTGCAGTACCGTCTCCAAATCCAACCTCCCTACGAAACTTTTGAAGATTAAATTGTTCTTGCATTTTATGTTAAATATAGCATTGATGATCTCATTTTTCACCTGCATTTGCATGGTGAACAACTCTTTCTTAACCTTTGGTAGTGGTGACAATCCCGAGCTCATTCCCATCAATTAGACCATCAAGAACAAACTTAGGTCCACATTAGCCATATACCCTACCTCAACGGCATATGTAGCTATAATAGTGGTGATGGTCCACTTTTTGCAATCATTCCTCTATGATGCCAACTCCAAAATTAGTTTCTAATAACCCTATTCATCATGTCCGGATTTTTAGCAATGACCACAGTATTTATCAAATTTAGAAGAGTCAGAAACTAAATCACCCTTCTTACTTTTGAATATGAGTTTATTATTTCTCATAACCTGATTCTTTCGCTCAATAGCTATGGTAGTTGTGCTAACTCTATGTAAATCATGAATTGAGAATAAACTAAGTTCTGATCGTATCCTCTTCTAAAGTTCAAAAGTGTGTTTTGTATAGGTGATTAGATCTCACAATGATACCCCAAGTGCCACCGCTTGCTTTTGAAACTTGGTGGAACACTCTTATATAGTTTAATCTTTCTTTTAATGGAATTTGTGCCATTAATCCTAGCACTTCTCTAAATAGCCCATGGGATAGAATTTTTAACAAATGAATTACTTGAACTACTTCTAAGTGGTTTCTCTATTCTTTCCACTCTTAGCCATTGCCTTTCACCAAAATTTGGCATGCTCAGTCATCTTAAGAGGCATGTAGGCTGCTTTCTGGACTTTGAAAAATTTATGTAATGTAAAATAAGTCTCCAATTGATCAAGCTATGAATCTAAGCTTTTAGGATCAATAGAACTGTCATATACCGGTATCTCCACCTTGGCCTCTACTCTAAGTAACTCCCTATTTAAATTGATAGTATCTTGTCTTACTGTCTTCCCCATCACTATCATGTTTGATAATATCAGGCCAAACTTATGTGTGAGGCACTTCCTCCTTTTTGGAGGTTAAAGTTTGATAGTGTCTCTTTACCTTTAGGATACGTTCTTCTCACTTTGTATCCATGATACAATAAAAGCCATATCATTGAACAGCTTTTCAACCTTTTCCTCAAAACTAGGGTTTACTAGGCTGAACCCTTGTTATTGTTGTTTTTTTGGCATTCAGTTGGTAAATTTCTAAACAAGTCGACAATGAGATTGTAACATTGATAAAAATTCTTTGATAGCTTTATAACTAGATTTGGTTCGCACCATTCATAGACAAGGAATGATACTCTAATACCAAATATATGATCTATAATTTTTAGAACACTAAACAATGTCCAAAACTGGATCAATAATCAATAATTCAATGATCCAAATCTAATCAACAATGAACAATATGGAAAAACTAATTTACAAACTAATATAAAAGTTAAAAGTGTTTTATAACTTGGAATCAAAAAAATTTATTTAAACCCTAACAAGTAATCAAGACTAACCCGACTTCTCTTGCACCAATTATCCTAAACTGCTAAAATACCCCTAACTTTTCACCCTAAGACGACTAAAACCAATTGTTGAATGAATGATTCTTGTCGAAAGTGAAAATCTCCAATCATGAGATGATTACCAAATGTTTTTAAGAAGCCTTAAATGAGTTTTCAATGAGCCTTATTTATATTTAAATGATTTGGACACTTTGGAGAAGACGCCAAACCTTCCTTTTATAACTTAAGATGTCCTAGGAGGTGTAGGGATTCTTGGAAGCCTTGGAAACCCTAAAAATAGTCAAAAATTATTTATGATGCGTTAGTGGGTAGTGCACTATGGTGGGCTCTAGCGCATTATAGTACACTAATTCTAAAATGTAAGGCGCTGCGATGAGCTCTAAAGCACTATGGTCGCCTATTACAGTAACTTTTTGTTTTTTATAAAATCTTCTCATCCCAAACTTTTAAATGAATATTGCCTAACATTAAACCTCTCAATGATCCTTCCCAATCAAAGTAGCAACCAAGCGACAAGGAAGAAGGCATGGAGAGCAAGTCAAGCCAAAGCCTAAAGGCAGATCGAGGCCTCCTCCCCTGTTTTCTTTCTCCGCCTTTAGCGCCAATCAAGCAAGGATAGAGGAACGACCTCATCACCTAATCTTGGTTGCCAAGCAGGAGGTCGGAGGCAAGTCAAGGCCTCTGGTGCCTGGAGAGCAGGGGTAGAGGATGGACCAAAAGGTGAGGCCGATCTCTATCCCTTCTCAACCAATATTGAAGGTAGAGGAAGGAAACAGGGAAGGAGGCCTTGATTTGTCTCCAGTGGCTACCTTTAGTTTGGCCTACTCATCGTGCTCTTTTTCCCACTACTCAATCGCCAGCCCTGCTTCCTGATACACCTACTTGTCCAAACAAATTGCTCAGTACTTAGGACCAACTTTTCTTGAAAAACCAACTTCCCTCACTAATTTTTATTAAGAAGGGAGTTTAAATCAAACTAATTTTTAAAGGAAATCAATTTTACAGATTTTAATAAATAAATTTGTTTTAAATATGTTAGTACATAAAAAAAATTATAATCTTAATATAAAAAAGCCAACCCCTTCCCCCGTCTTTTATTTTAGTCGTTTTATTCCTCTGTATTGGGCTTCCTGCATGGGCTTCGGGAAACAGTGAGACACTTGTGGCCCACGTGAAATCCCAGCCTTCCACCATCTGCAGCATTTTTGTACTCAGTTGTTCTTTCCCCTTCTGTTCTGTGTACCGAATTGACTTGTCCTCCCTCATACTTCGCTTAACCCCCAAAGAAGTCACTCCTCTTTCAATTTCAAAGTTGACCATATACATGGTCCTCTGCAACGGGCAAAACTGTTTGAAAAGAAAAAAGAAAAAATAACTTTATAGTTTCCAGATTACTTTCGTTTCAAACTGAAAATACTTATTATAAATATTCTACAAGAAGTTTTGATTTTCAAGAAAACTAGGATCTGGTTTCTTAATGACGCTTTTGTCCCCATTACGTGAAGAAAATACAAGAAGTTAGAAAGATCCTGGGCGATTAGTGATGAAAAAACAGTGAATCTCTGAGAAAGCAGATCAAAACATAGGAGTTTCGTCCTCCAGAGGGACTTCCATTAACTACCCCATCTTCCCCTGCCCAGTACTCTCACTGATAGTTCAACTTTCAAGGGTATCATTGGATAAATATAAAAATTTACCAGAATAAAAATCTACCAGAATCTTTTACTTGTACAGATTTCTTACAAGTCAAGAAATTCCCTATAAACCAGACCTTCCAGCCTGGGAATGGCTTACCTGACACCAAGATTATTTGTCATTATCGGTTATTTCTATCACTTCCTTTTTTCAAAATAGAAAATTAACGGAAATGTCATGATAAAGAGGTGAAATTTCGTGTTTTTTGGAATCCTATTCTCTCTCTTTCTATCTCTCCCCCCTGTGATGGGTTCGCATACACACACACACACGGTTTTCTCTTTCCAAAATACACACCTATACATGGTTGCAGAGGAGAATCTGCAGGTGCAAACATCAGCAGAGGAAAGTCAAATTATAGATGCAATCTCGTTGCTTTCTAACCTACCTACCCATCTCATATTTTATCAAGAACCGGATTATTTTTGTAATGGATTATTGTTTTACTGCATTTCAAAAAAAAAGAAAAAGAAAAAAAAAGGAAAAATTTATAAATGGGAGAGGAGATTAGCCTTCAAAAAATGAGACCCAAGAAAGAAACAGAGGAAAACCCAAATTCGATAAATAAAATTTGGCATTTGGGATTCGTAATGTACAGGGCTTGAACAGCTTAAATCTAATGTCAATTATTAACTGCTCATACTGATAATTGATATCATGGGTTGAAGATAGAATTTCCACATTTACATTTCCAACTCATGGGCTTGTAGTTGGAGCTCTCATCGCCTCTGGAGTAGCTGATGCTTGGGATTGAAGAAGGGTAGCTTCCATGGCCAGTTCTTGTTTGTGGGTTCGTGGGCACTTGAATGGCCTCGCAGTGCCCGCAGGTACTGCATCTTCTCTCGCACTTCGGCGGCCTTGAACCGATTTGGGCTGCCAGGATTTCCTTCTCGTCCTGCAACCTCTCGCCAGTTACAACTTGTTTGAAAGAAAGAAGAAAAAACATTTTCCTCATTAATAGCTTATTTGAATTAAATTTGCTAAGAAAACGAAAATGGGAGAAATTGGAGAGATGAAACGATTGGGACTTCCTCGTAAAAAGACATTTAGGTTTATTAAATTTTAAAATACTAAAGTTACCTGACTGAAAGTACAAAGAAGAAGAATTAATGGCAAATAAATCCTAGCATTCTACTCTCCAATCTATCTAATTCTCTGGTATTTAGGAAATTTTGATTTTTCTCTCAGCTCCCAAACATAACCTTGGGGAGCGAGCGAGCGAGAGAGAGAGAGAGAGAGAGACTGACCTTGGAATGTTCAAGTGGTCTGAAAATTGTTCTACCTGTGACAAACTAAATGCTGATGAGAAGGAAAAAACTTTATAGAAAAATATGCAGTTTCTGAGGATATGTATAAATAGTAGGGGTTTACCTTCAGCAGTAAATCTCAGACATGTCCAGCTTGAAAACAGGAGGAAGAGGAGAGAAATGGTGAAACGATGAAGTTTGCGGCTACAAACAGAGTTCTTATTGAAATCCATTTCAGGATAAAAATGGAAAAACAGAGGAAGATTGCACTTGTGAGAAGATTGGAGGATAGTGGGAGAACTGATTGAGATGTGAACTTGGAAAAATGACGCTATATGTAACATAACAATCTCCCTCCCTCTCTCTCTCTCCCCCCCCCCCCCCCTCCCCTCCCTCCCCCTCTCTCTCTCTCTCTCTCTTTCTGTAGATAGTGAAGAGAGTTGAGATGATGGAACATGGAAGGACAATGGAGTAACAGAAGGCAGAGGAAGGTTTTAAAAGAAAGAATCAAAGGAGCCCATTAGAGAAGAAGCTCCACCTCGTTCCCTGAGCCTCCCTAAACAACAAAGATTTGCTACATAATGGAAGAAAGAGAAACACTGGTGAGCAGTAGAATGGATGTGACGGCCACTTCAGAATTCAGAGGGATATATACACATTGTGTATATATACGTGTCCATGATAAAAAAAATTGCAGAGATATATGATACAGTTACCTAATGTTTTGTACGGGGATAATTTCAAGATTCATGAACTCCTTTACAGAGATTCTGGCAAATTTTTTGGAAAGAAACAAAATTTAAGGATTAATTTTTTTTAAAAAAAAAGGGCTTGATTAAGCGCTTTTAAAGCTTCCTAGAATAAAAACTATCTCAAATAAAAAATCAAAGATAAAATTATGAATATTTTAAAAATTTTAGAGGTTTTAAAAGAACAAAACACCCCCAATTTTTGTCTATTCTAATATGTAAATATCCGAATGTTTTTCCTTTGATGAATTATGTTGTTGCTTCTGACTTTTGAAAAACTTTAGTAAATTTTAAAGACTAAATCCATTTTTCTACTTCTTTATTTTGAAAACAATTTGGAGAGACTTTTCTGAGAAACTAATTCATCTTCGAAAATAATAAGTAATTTTTAACATCTAAAAAAATGTTATGAAAATGAAAGAGTCATTGATGTTTTTATTGTGTTATGTCTTCGAAAATATAAAATAAAAAAAAGAAAAGAAGACAACTGAGAATAAAAATACGAAAGTGCAGAATATATATGAAATTAAATTTACTGTTCATGCTTTCAATAGATAAAAGAAGTACAGTGCGTAACTTTTTGCTTTTTCTCCTTTATGTGAAATTTATACACATGCATGTGCATGCATAGTATATACATACAGAGATATTGCAGAGTCTAGAAAGAAGACAAGGACCCAAAACAGCAAGGAACCAAAGCAACAGACAAGTGGTTACAGCTGTGGATTTGGGCTTTCGCTTTCCTTTCGTTTTCCCTTCCATCAATACCCTCATCTGGTTCCTTTTCAAATAAATATTATAAAAAAATAAAAACCCTAATCTGGGTATTTGAGAAACAAATAAAAAAATAATAATTCTCTGATCTGGGTTTTTCTTGTAGTGGTTGGTTTTCGCAGTCCCACCCCACCACGCCATATCTCTCTCTCTCTCTCTCTCTCTCTCTCTCTCTCTCTCTCTCTCTCTCTCTCTCTCTCTCTCTCTGTGGATTGCAGACACGTATATATAATATACACATATACAGATGAAAGTGTGCAGACATAGATTTATGTGAAAATGGAGTAGTGTAGAGCCAGGGAGTGAAAGGAACACAAGTAGAATAAATGTACTGAGTTATACGAGTGATGATAGTCAATCAATTATCAGTGTGCTTCATCCCATGAAGAAGCATTTGTCTACTTCGTTTTGCTGATTCCTTGGTACCCATCAACTTTTTGTCTTTTTATTTGTTTATTTCCTAGTTTTGGTTGATTGGCGCTTGGCGAACTCATAGAAATACGCCTGTTCATTCTGTTAGCTGGGTTTTGTTCGGTTCGGAAGAAAATTTTAAACCGAACCGGTTTAAATTGATTTGAAAGAATTCGAACGTCATCGAACCATTTTTATCTCAAAAATTCGGTTTAATTTTGATTTAGTTTTAGATTTCAACTTGTTAATAAATGTTATTATTCGTTTTTCATAATCAACCTCACACAAATTATGTTGAAAAATAATTTACTATAGTATATTCTTTGTTTTGATATTTCTAATGACTATTATTCTCTTTTTTTAGTATATAATATTTGAGTGGATTCGATATCTATTACATTGTTAAATAAAAATATTAATTTAATTTAAAATATTTCAACACTAAATCAAACTAATTTACAATGAAAATCAATCCAGCCCAAACCAATTTTTTTAGTTCAATTTAGTTTTGGTTTATATTTTACTTTAAATTATTTTTATTAAAAATTATTTTTTCATTGTCCACAAGGTTACATATCAAATAACTAATTTAAGAATACCTAACATTCACTTACTATATACACATAATTGCATGAAATATGTAGATTGGATATATTTTCAAATGGCCAATATATTTTCTTTAAAGCAATAGAAATAAATAAATAAATTTATATTAGACCTCAACCAAAAAAATCAATTTTAAATTCTAATAACATATACGAAAGATGTTAAATTCATTTAATACAAATTAAAATTGAAAAAGATTCACTAAATTTATTCATTTATTCGATTACATAATAGAGTTTTTTTTTGGGGGGGGGGGGGGGGGGGGGTTTAAAAGCATCGTTAGATTTGTTAAAACTGACACAGTATCGAACGCTTGGGCTTGAGGCCTTCAGAGCGGCTTGATAGAATAGACAATTGGGCCATATTATGGGCCATGACACCAAGCTTTGACTTCACAATTCATTTAAAGGCCCAACTTAAGAAGAAAAAACAATTATTGTAAAGGAAACGGCCCATTAAACAGAAATCATTTCCACCTCAAAAAGAAAAACAATTAAACAGTCCATAAAACGAGCCCACCGAAGGAGGATGGGCAAAACTAAACATGGATGCGGCTTACAGTTCTATCATGAATGAGGCAAGTTGTGAGGGCGTTTTGAGAGATTAGAAGGGTGATTGGGTAGTGATTTTTCTAAAAACATTGGAGAGGCTTCAGTGCTGATGGCGGAGGCATGAGATATTTGAGAGGGTTTCCAGCTAATTTAAAATTCGAAATGTAAAAGAAGAATTAATTAGAAATGGACTCTAAGAAAATTGTAGATATAATCATTAATAAGCAGAAATAAAGATCAGAGGTTATTTCTGTTGCTTCTAGGATCATTCTGATGATACAAAGGTAATAGCAAGCCGAAGTGAGTCATATCAGGAGAAAGAACAATTGGTGCACTGATCAACTAGTCAAGATTGGTCTTTGGCTAGAGCTGACGGGAAGGGAGTGGATATATGGTCCCCATGCATTGAGGGACATGCTTAGTGAGGAAGTCTTTAGGACTCCCACCCTCAATTCTTTGTATTTTCTTTCTTTGAACTTAGCCCTGTTGTTATCAAAAAAAAAAAAGTAAAGAAAAAGAAATATTCCATAAAACAAAAACTCAAGACAATCCATAAAACATCAATGCATGAGTTGTTAATGACAATTCACAACTTATCTTACGATTTCTTAGAAATGTGAAGTCTTTGCCTGTAATATACTTTCTAAAAAGGGGAGGGCAACGTCGCAAGGCAAATTTGAGAAAGACTATTAACTTTCAGCATTTAATAAATTCAAGTTGTTTGAAAAATAAGTCTTAAAATTTTGTAAAGTATCTATGCTACTCTCTTCCTCTCTCATTCCACAATTATGATCACACTGGATTGGGATGAGATGATAAGATTTCATAAAATATAATTATTTTATCTTATCAAATATTCTGTATGTAACAGATCTCATAAAAAATTATGCGAATGACAAGTGTAAGGCTTAAGAAAAATAATGTTATGGAGAAAAAATCTCTGATAGTTTTATCAATTTCTATCAAAAGATTATATTTTTATTCTTTTGATTAAAATACACTTGATGATTACACGAAAAAAAGAAAATCAAAATATGTCTAACCCAACACCTCTAGGACGACTCTGGCCACTCTCTGGTGAAAGAACCTTTGTAGTCTCTCTCTCTCTCTCACTCATCCTCTTCCTAGTTTTCTTCTGTCTTAGGCGTCTCCTTCTTCTCTGCCTTACACGAAAACCCCAAGCCTATTGACGGCCGGCCGCCCCCTTCTGCCTCTCTCTCATTCTGTCTCTAACCTCGCTCTTCCCCTCACGCCTTACATGCCCCAATAGTATTTAGTGTTGGTCAGCTTCTAGATATAGGTGCAATGCGTTTGTCTTCTTGCTCTTTTTGCCAATGGCAAGCCTGGACTACTAATAGGAGGAGAAGCGATAGAGCACTACAGACGAGTGCATGATACTTGTGTGCAATTGGAACGATGAACAATGCTCACTGATAAGGGTATTTTAATAAAGTTTTATATTATTCTATTAATTCTATTTTTTGAGTAAGGTTGTTTCAAACAAGTAGAAAAAATTTTTCATCTTACTTTATTCAATTTTATTTTATCTTATTTTATAACGGAACGTGACCAGCATGGCCCAAATTAGTCCACCAAGAAATGCCCAAATTCCCTGGATCAAATCTCAGAAAAGCTTTAATGCAAAATAGCGGGCTGATCCAATGGTTCTTTTCCTTTCTTAGTAGCCCTTTGCTGTTGTTCCAAAGTACGGTTTGGATTTTTCATTTGTGCTCTCTTCTAAATTTTCATTTTTTTGGTTTTCAAAAACGAAAGAAATACTACAGTTGTTTGAAAAATCTAATTCCGTTTGGATAAGCTGCCAATTTTACAAAAAAGAGTTCTTAAAAATAGTAATTTGAAAACTTATTTAGACGTAATTTTAAAAATAAAAATTTTTCTTCTTCCTCAAAGAAATTCTATACTTAATTCTTGTTCCCTTCTCTCTACTCACCCAACTGTTACTGCCATCAATAATCCCAAAATCCGTGCACTTTTTTGCCTAAGAAGCCAAGGATGATCTTAATCACAATATTAATAAAAGAATAACTAATCTCTCTCTCTCTCTCTCTCTCTATATATATATATATTATATATGGGATCAAAAAACGATGACAGCATAATAGTCGGAATATGACAGTAGGAGAACGATGATGATTGCTTTCTGTTAAAAATAAAATAATTAATATTAAAATTAACTTTTTGTTACTTTAAAGATTTAATCAAAATCTGAACTCATTTTTCAAAAACTATTTCTGAAAACATATCATCAGATATTATTCTTTGTTTGTTTTTCATATTTTGAGAACAAGAAACCATTCTTTAAAATATATCAAAAAGTGTGTCTAATTTTCTATCGTTTTCATGGTCATTCACCAAAAAAAGGTTTCTAAAAAGTTTTGAGTTTTCTGTTGCAGAAAGCAGTTTTTCCAAAACAAAACACCTGTTGTTTGGGGGATTGCGATCATGAATTCATGAGGTATTTAAGAAGCAAAGATTTCTGGTTCATGAATCTGTCCGTGTGAATGTACGAATGGATAGTGGAGAGTGAAATCTAGTACTGCACATGATTATTATGAAGATGCATGAGGA